TTTCAGGTGATTCGATCCATTTCATCTCCCAAAAATGCACTGAGAGTAAACTTGATTCATATATGTCCAGACATTGTTCAAACATGTTTCAAACATCCTCCAAAAATCTTCCGTAGAAGTTCCTTCTTCATTCCAAGAAATTCCAAAACATCCATCCAACCATCTTCAAACCTTGTTGTACCTTGTTGTACCTTGTTGTTTCCTTGGTAGGACCAGGGCTTCTCAGACACGGCAGCTCTGAGTTACCTCTTTCTGCGTCCTGACTGCGCGGCCGTCTGGGCGGCCTTCACAAATGGCCTGAATTCTCTGGAGGCGCAGGAGGCCATGGAAGGCATGACGCAGTTGGCGTGGCAAGCCCCAGTGGCCTTGGCCTTGAGTAGTTGAAGGGTTATGCAGCTGGATGGTGTCATATGTATGTATGTATACATAATATATAATATATGTATGTATACATAATATATATATGTGTGTTTATGTATGTATGTATGTATGTATGGTTGTATGTATGCGTGTAATGTAATGTAATGTAACGTAACGTAACGTAACGTAATGTAACGTAATGTAATGTAATGTAATGTAATGTAATGGATGTATGTATGTATGTATATATGTGTGTGTGCGTGTGTACGTATATATACATGTATATATATATATATAGGTGTATGCATGTATGTATACTGTATGTATATATATATGCATGTGTGTGTATGTATGTGTGTGTGTGCAGGTGTGTGTGCATTTGAACACAGCATAAGATATCAATAGAATTAATAGTCTAAAATATATATTTATCAGTATACACGACACTTCCTTCGTATGAGCATATGTATGTATATATATGTATATTATATGCATATATTTGTATCCCCGTGTTTTGTTTGTTAAGAAAACAGAAACATGTGTTTCCTTTTTGTTTCCAGGGGAGGAGGATCAAATTTGACTATCACATTGCTGATATTCTTGGCATTGGTTGACGCATCCAACCAGTTTTGATTGAATGTTTATGGCAAATTTTTGAACATTTGGTGAATCTGGAAATCGGATGGCTCCTTCGTGGTCGTGTTACTGTTAGTGCTTTCTGGCGGTGGCGAGTGGTCATGTGTTTGTTCGACACGAATCGTGTGGGGGTGCTGTGGGATTTCTGCAGGATGCGATGCGTTCATTGAAATAGTGCGATTGTGTGGCGCTTGTGATATTGCTTCTGCGATTTACATTCTACTGATCTACTGGGTAAAAAGTTTTGATCAACAAATGAATTAACATGGAACCAGCAACTGATAAGATGATTAAGCATTTCAAGATTTTCAAGCATCCTGCTCAATGGCCCATTTGAGTACCCAAATGGAGATCTTTCTGTGTCATACAAAATGGAGATCTTTCTGTGTCATACAAGGCCCCAGGCATCTTCCGCGGGGACCTTCCTTTATATAATGGCCTTGCATAGACTCATAGACCTTAATTTCAGAGATTAAGCCCCCCCGGTGTAGGCAAATAAAATATATCCTTTATAGAAAGGCCGGGATTGGATCCAAACATTGCTGTTGCCATCACTTGCCGCCCAAAGGTCTGCGCACTGGAAATGCTCAAAATGCCCAATGACCTGGAGACTATCATCTTTGTGCGTCACTTCAACGAATCTTGCTGAAAGAAACATGGTCCAGACCCCGAACATCCCGAACTCCGGCATCCCAATTTGCATCCATAGAGTCAAACAATGTCAAACATGCGGATGGGTAGTCACCAAGCCAACTTGCCATGAATCACTGGAAAGAAAATTGGCTCTGGTTTTGTTTTTCCCGAGGGAAGATACAAAGTGACTTCAAGGGAACAATATGTTTCCCTCAAACGCCCTGAACTAGGAGAGTTTGAAGGCCCTGACATTACCTTCCAATCTCCAGAACTTGACCTTTGGTCACTACTTCAATCAGACCATGGATGGAGTAAGTTTGCCCGACCGTCTCCAGAGTCTGACCTTTGGACATTACTTTAATCAGAGCCTGGTGGGTTTGACTCTACCCAGCTGCCTCCAAAGCTTGACCTTTGGAAACTGGTTCAACGTGAGCTTGGAGGGGGTGGAGCTCCCCAGTTCCCTCAAGTTTCTTGGGATTCTGAAGTTGTTTTTTGTTTTTTTTGACATAACGGGAAACCCACCGCCTTGGGAATCTACAGGGATGATGTGTTTCTATTGTTCTTGGCATCTTCGCAGAAGATCCAAGGTTTTTGACCTTCGAAAACCACTTCAACCAACCCTTGGAGAATGTGATCCTCCCTGCGCAGCTGGAGATTCTGACCCTGGGAGATCAATTTGATCAGAGCATGTCACGGGTGAAGCTTCCTGAAGGACTTCAGCACCTCAGGCGTCCTTGGGAACGGATGGAACACTTGTTGAATGAGTCAAAGTGGGTGAAAGCTACCTTGACAGGTGTATTACATATGCACTTAATATGCGTACGTATATTAGGTCGATATAATACAATCATACAAGTTGGAATTTATTTTGTATTGTTTGTAGGGTTATCATTATCATTAGTAGTAGTGCTGTTGGATCATGATCATTATTGATGCAGTGTTCAAGTGCATTTTTTGCACGTACCGAAAAATAGTGCCTTTAAAAGAAATCAGACATACGCTGCAGTTGTTGGTAGAATGGTTGCGTATGTTTTTTGATGACATTCGCCAGTATCTTGTTTGGTTACCTGTTTGTTTCGCAATAGCTTTGAAAACTCGTAGTTTCTGCGTTTGGTGCTGTTCAGGGTGTCTCCACCTTTACTGCATGGTTTCCAACCACAACAAGTATTAAAGGCTTGTTGTGCCATATTTAATGATTATATATATATATATGCTTGTCCTTAATTGTTTTTCTTCTTTCACGACCTTGCGGTCGTTCTAAAAGTCGGTTGTTTTATCCCAGATTTGGTTCAAACTCCACCCGGTGAGCTGATGAGTTTGGAGTTTACCCTTGGTTTATATCCCCCCTTTATCCCCATGATATCTCCAGTGGTTCCTGCATTTGATTTTAAGCAATCCGTTGATTTATCCATGATCCCATCGAAGACACCTGTGCCTTTAATGTCAACCAGGGGTAATGTTTTTTCTACAACCCTGAGGAAAATTAAGAGAAAACATTGAGTTTCCTCCTTAAATTTGAAAAACTGGTCAACCCCAAAATGATTTCACCATGTATTCATACCTTTGCAACTGAAATTGCCAAAAATAGTACCAATGGTACCTTGCCAATAAGAACGATCCAGAATAATGATCACTGAATTGGTTTCAGGCTTAAGTGGGAAAACCCTAAAGAGAGGTGGTAAGAATCGTGGTTTCCTTTCTACCAACCCATTGAAACCTCACACTTCCCATATAATTTCCATTGGAAATTTCATGAAATTTCAATAAATTTCAGGTTTGGCGTCCAGTTCAACCAGACGCTGCAGCAGACATGGTTCCCCCCAGAGCTCCGGAGCCTGAGTTTCGGCTGGCGCTTCAACCAGGATCTGTCGGGCATCAAGCTGCCCGAGAAGCTGGAGACCTTGATATTTGGACACCACTTCAACCAAAGTCCCTAGTTGTGGTGACATGGGAGGGAGAAACGAAGCCATGGCTATTTTCCCTAGAAAAATGGTGGAGAGCCAGTTGGAGCTACGAATTGAGAAACCTGAAACCCCATGATAGCTGAATCTGGTGATTGTGCAAATTGTGCATTCTATTTTTATTGTTTAATCCCATCTCAATAATCATTAAACACCCCCTAAATCCCTAAGTAGTCCCAAATATGTTAAAATCTCCAAGAAACCGTGGTTTCTAGGTGGTGTTTGATATAGAGAGGCCGGGGATTAATTAAGTCAAGGATGTATAAAGATGTTTGGCAAGTAGCTGAGAGATGTTTGAACTTCATGTTTGAAAACACGTCTACATAGTGTTTTTAAACAATTACCCAAAAACTGTAATATATGATTGACTTGAAACTGCCTTGGATTGCCGGGGCGATGTTTTTTTTTGTATTTCTACTGCTCACGATATTTGAGGGGCAAATCACGATTTATCACCACAAGGGGCAATGATTGGTGAAGTCAAGTTTCCTTCCGGCAATTCAACCTGGTTGGGTGGGAAATTTGATTTAGTATTGTTTGAGTGAGTCAACATTGAGGGGCGTATGTACCATGATATATGTATGACTAGGACAATATGTTCTGCGTGTGATGTAACGACTAGTAAAAAGACCTTAGAGCCAATCCAATAGTGCTGACGATGGTTTCAAACATCCTTGCTTTTCAGTGAACTTTTCTGTATGTTATTTTCTGTGATAAACCATCATCAATCTGTACGTATCACCTGGAAGTGCTTTGCCTTGCATACGCTTGGCGCACTTCATAATTTTTGTTGGCAGTTTCAAAGGTTGGGTAGGCTGATGCTTTGCAAATACGGTAGCCACTCATGCAATGAGGATAAGACATGATAAGACCCACCAGCCGGGCAGCTGAGATTCAACCTGTGCGTTGAAACCACTCGACACCAGGTTTGTTGCAAGTGGCCTTGCCTGACAGTCTGCAAACACTCAGCTTCGGATTTTGGTTCAACCAGAACCTACCATTTGCATTCAGTCCATCTATGTCATTGTTCTGTGTTTTTTTTGGCTCAAAGTATGTCTAAGTCTTGTTTTTACATTCTGTGTATCCATGAAGGGAAGTCGTCGTTTTTCGATTGTCGTCCTTTTGGTGATCAACTATAGGTAGAAACATCAACAGACACGTCCTCGAAAGCCGGGGGCCAAACAATGAACCACTGATGGTTCCAAGATGTTCATGTTGTGGGGCAGCTAACATGCACATTGAAAAGCTGCAATTTTTACAGTTGGAAAGCTACATCATGCTACGTCGTACGTCAAAAAGTTCCTGAAGCCGTGGAACTGTCCAGTGGTGGGTCCCTCCAACTTGATGATTTCAACATATTTAAACTAGTTCAGTACCTAGCCCTGCAAGTACCTGGGATGATCCTCAATCTTTTTCTAGCCGTTGAAACCAGCATCCAGTGATGATTTTCCCGGAGCTGATCCCCGGGGTGGATGGGTTCGATGCATCTAAATCAGCACATCGGTGGTTTTTTCGATGTGTTGATGATGCGGGGTTGAAACATGTTGAAACCACCAACCAGTATAGATAGGTTATCTGAAATGATCAGGTTCTGATTTTATGTTTGATCGAAAAAATGGCTGATTGGCTGATGTCATTCGTCATTCGTCTTCGAAAATCACAGGGGAATTGACAACATCACCATTTCTATTGACGTCACCAGTGATCACCACCAGCCGTCCCAAGGAGTTTGGACGAGTTCATGCTGCCCAGCAATTTGCAGCAGCTTTTGACCTGCGATTTGAACCTCGAGGGTGTCGAGCTGCCCTCGCAGTTGGAGAACTTGACCGTTTCGGTGCAATCCGAGAGTTTCGACCTGGCGACTCGGCGGATCTTTGTGATCATCCCACCGTGGTACACCGTGGTAACAACGTTGGTACATGTTAAGGAAAAACCTGAAGAAACCTCACATGTTTTGCCCCTAAATACAATTCTGTAGAGATAAAATTGAATCGAATTCCGTGCTCTTGATATATACCTGATTTTTGTTTGGGGTACCTCATTCCAGCTCATGAGAAAATCATTTGTTTACGTTTACATGATTTGAGTACCATTTCTTGGGGTATCCCGCATTTGTGGACAAACCCGAGTTCCAAAATTATTGAATCCCAGTATATAATTAGCATCAAGACCATGACCATGGCTTGAGGACATGTAGAAATTTGCACCCTGTTGTTGTCGATGGGCAGTGATTGATGTTTGGCAAGTGTCGATATTTTGGCCATTTGTTTGGAAGTTTGTTGGAGCTTGGCCCATTTGGGTGTGGGTCAAAACCCTGGTACCCTGGTGAGCCCCAAAATACGTAGCTGGTAAATGGATGTTCGTCCCCCCAAATATTGGGCTCATTCCAGTCTCTGGAGCAGTGCAGGAGTCGTTGCCACCGAGCCTTCAATCTTTGGCATTCACAATCGAGTTCAACGAAAGCTTGAAGGTTTGGATTTGCTGACGGTATTTCTTTATTTCACCTTGCTTAATTCGCGCGAATATACTGGGAATAGGGGTCTCTTAGGCAAATCCAAGAAGGACATCAGTCTGCCTCAGAGCTTACGGACACTCACCTTGGGGCACCAGTTCAATCAGAGTTTGGAGGCTGTGAACTTCCCGTGCGGCCTTCAGAGTCTGACCTTTGGTGATCAGTTCAATCAGAGCTTGGAAGACGTTAGGTTTCCAGATGGCCTGCAGACCTTGAGCTTTGGGAGCAATTTCAATCAATCGTTAGACGGCATCTCGAAGATTATTCAGGGTGTAATGGAACTTGATGGAACTTGTTGTTTTTTGACATTTTTTGACCCACCACTCAAAGAATGCGCGCATGTATTTGAGTCTTTCGGCTATATGCTTGAGGATGCGCTGAGTGACCGTGTGTGCGTTTCTCAGTCCTGTCGAGTGACACAAATACGGAATGTAAATATGAATATGTCATATTATTTATATATATATATGTTTGTATGAGCATGTATGGCAGGGCGGGCGCTCTCATTTCCCTATTGACCCTTTCCTCCCCAAGGTGTGAGACTGCCGCCCAAGCTGGCGCATCTGATTTTTGGCGACGATTTCGACCAAAACTTGGAGAACATCAAATGGCCCCAGCAGTTACAGTCTTTGACCTTTGGTGCCGAGTACAACCAGAGCTTAAGGGGCGTCCGATTACCTGATGACTTGCAAAGCTTGACCTTTGGTGATTTGTTCAATCAAAATCTCGCCGCCTGGCCCAAAGCCCAGAGCTTATCATCCCCAAAAAAGTTGTTTGATGCTGAGAAAGTGTTTTAACATCAACCCCCCAACTGGCAAGGTCAATGTAAGTTGGAGGAAGGGGATTCGAAGCAGGGCTTGGTATTAGGGTCTGGGCCACTGCTGCGGTTCAGACTCAGTTGAGACCATTCTTGGAAACCATTCCGTCATTTATGTGGCCGGTTGCTTTGTGGGGTGAGTATCAGCCGTAAACATAGTGACTAAATGGCATTAGCATTCTTGGCTGCCTATGTAAGGTTACATAAGGTTATTCTATGTTCTTATTACTTACTATTTTATCAACTTCTTGACTTTTCTCATGCCATGCTTGGAATTTCCCCCATCAACTTTTCCACCCAGGCCGATGTGGTCCTGCCTTGTCACCTCAAAACACTGACCTTTGGAGCTGATTTCGATCAGAGCTTGGCTAATGTGATATTGCCGGAGGGTCTGAACAGCCTAATCTTTGGAGCTGAATTTAATCAGAGTTTGGTGGGAACTGAGTGGCTTTCCTGCAAGCCTGGGGCTTGTTTCAGCAGACCGCGGCTTGTAGATGGCCGTGTGCTTTTGTGTTTTTTCTGTTTTTTTTTCACTGTTTCGTGTGGTGTGGCGTGGGGCGGGGCAAGAACGTGCATGTTACGCTGCATTATGTACGGGCTCCTACGTCACGCAAGGCTTGGGGTGGAGCAAAGACATTCATGTTACGCTGTGTATGTACGTGCTGCTTCGTCACGCATGGGGTGGGGTTGGGGCGGAGTGGGCAAAAACGTTCATGTTACGTATGTACGTGCTGCTACGTCACGCATGGGGTGGGGTGGGGTGGGGCCATAACTTTCATGCTGCGCTGCTTATGTACGTGCAAACCATAGACCATAGACCGTGTGTGTGTGGCTCAATCTCAAATCTTGATTGCCTCCAAAACTGCAAGCAGTTAAGGTGTCAATCCTATGAGTCAACAGTGGTTGTGTCATCAAAGTGGTTTGCCCTGCTCTCCCAAAGAGATGATGACACACCTTGTGGGACTGTTGAAAAAGCACCACGGATGAAAGGCTTCCTTTAAAAAAGGAAGTAGTTTACGGATGCTTACGGCAATTCAAAAGCAATAAGGACGTTTGCTTTCCCCAATAGCAGTAAGGTTTGAAGCCGCTTTATCCAATGGCAGGGATGTTTCATTTGCTAAAAGTGCCAGAAAAAATATACGTAGTGGAATTGCGAAGAAGAAGGCCGCAGCTCACACCATCACGGTCACATTTTGTCACGGCCGGCTGTGAGCCGTGGACTTGAGTTACTAGTTGTTCCATCAATCTTTCATAGATTTTTCATAATCATCCCGTACCCCATTCAAAAAGGGAGGATAAGGTGGACAACCCCCAGTACAGGTACAGAACCAGCCAGAGCCTAGTAAACTGGACCTTGATACTTTATACGTTGGAAATTGCACGAGGTTTCCAGATGCTTTGGAGAACTTGACCTTCGGACTGCTCTTCAATCAGAGCTTGGTCGGAGTGGCTTGGCCGAGCAATCTGCAAAGGCTTACCTTTGGAGATGCCTTCAATCAGAGCATGGCCGGGGTGACCTTGCCCAATAATTTGCAGATTCTCACCTTCGGCGATGCATTCACCCAGAGCTTGGACAAGTCTCACTTGCTTTAGACATGAAAGACTTTGAGCCCGTTTTTTTTACTTCCTCCCAGTTTTTTCTGTTTTTTTTCAGCTCCAATTTCCTATTCTGCTTGTCTCTTTTGGTAATATTTGCCTAGGGCTTTAAGCGCCCCCCTTTGGGTCCACTCCGTGGTTTCTGGGTGGTTTCAACCTGAGGAGGGCACTATTCCAAGAACTTTGCACACGCTGACGCTTTGCTGGTTTGCCGTCAGTTCCGCATAGACAAAAGATGCCAAAGATGCCGAAAAAAACAGCTGGTCCCTGGCCCGGACGGGGCAACGGGTGTAATGCTTTGTTATTTATGGCACCCTGACCTTCCAGTTACCTCTAGGTAACCATTTCAGTTACCCGTGAGACAGGTAACCAAACATAGTTTTCGGAACCCAGGTTTGCGGATGTTTGCGGTACAGATTAGAAGCGTGAGAAAACAGCTCGGAACCGTGAAAAAACGCATTGGAAGGGTGAGAAAAGACTGAATAGACCTTGGAACCAGTTGCTTCTATTTGTGATTCCTGGCTGGCAGCCTGGTTCATGCAAAAAACCGTCGCCGAAACCTGGTTACCTACGGACAGGTTACCAGGAAGACTAGGGCTAGTTTACAATGGTTTATGATTTATGATGGCGATGGCTTTTGGTTGTTTATGATGGTGCATGATGGTGTCTAGGTGGGGCAACTTTACTCGTTGCATGCTTTGTGCTGAGAAAGCGGTCTCAGGTCGTTTGGACGTTTGGATGCCAAGAAGATGAGCCTATCAAGAGCGCACCCGATACCACTATTTAGATCCCTTTGGTAATCAAACCTGTCAATTCTGAAACAAAAATACACATGACACTTATCAAGTAATTAATTAGATTCAGATGATGTTTTACTGCATGATATCTTTTAACCTTATGTTCCCATAGTCTTATAACGTTTCCATAGAACACTGCGTTTTTTGTTTCGCGCAGACCACGGGACAGATCGATACAGTGCTAAGTTCACCTCCCTGGCGCAGGTGGGTGAGAGCGATCTCCGAACGGCTTCGCAAACGTCAAAGTATGCTATCGCCAGGAAAATGGTTTGTTTATTTATATACATATCTATATATAATTTTATATATATAGTGAAACATATATATGGTATCATACGGTGAATAGTTGTTTATGATTTCAAACCTATGCATCCTGTGCTACTACTGGTTTATTTATGGTTAACAATGGTGCTATCAACTTTAGAAAATGAGGAATGCTATATAACTAGAAGTAACCGGGATATGAATCAATGATGATTTAGTTGAAATATTTTGAAACCATGTTCAGCCCTATGACTGGGATATACTGGGAGAATAATCCCAATTGACAAACATATTTTGTTCACCAGGGTTGAAACCACGAATTATCACAGTTTGCCCAGGTCAGCGATAAAACAAACCGGTATTGTCGGTATTGCTGTATGTATTTGTTTGATGCTGCGCGGCGGTGATTGTTTTGCAGAGTACGGGAATCAAACGAAACTGTTTTTCCAGCAAAAAGTGGAAGGAGATGGCTGGATATATTTGGCATGGCTTGGTTCGTTTTGAAACTTTATTGTTTTGCAATGCAAATTGATATACCGCAGCTCATGGGTGCCTTCGCACAAAAAAAGGTGGCATCCTGCCAATGTTGAATTCGCGCTGCAGGCAATTCATTGCTTCCACAGTTGGACCGTATTGGTATGGGTTTGGTACCCAACAATTTATGGAGAAAAGATAACAAATCCAATGGTCGAGAAAATAATGTGCCCAGTATTTGTTTGTTATTTGGGGGGTGCCCCCGTTTCAGACAAACCCATGTGGGTCAAGAATTGATCCTGAAATTAAGTTTTTGTTGCCGATTTTTTTTTGGCTACGCTGTGCTGATATAATTTTGACTTTACAAGTCATTTCGCGAAGGCAACGTGCTTTGGGCCCAGTTGACTGGCATGCTGGCACTTTGTAGCCTTCCATTTGCTTCATCATTGTGAATGACGCATGATTCTGTTATTTGGCGACCAGGTCACTAAAGACTCGCCACAGCGGGATGATCGGATTCACATACTCCTTAGTGCTTCCAACTCTGTGACATTGCAGGACCAAGAGCAGGGCAGGAGCCCAGATTGGTGAGCTGCAGAAGAATATACAAAAGCAGTAACAGCCCAACAAGTCCAAAATCTGGGTAAATTGACTGGTGAATGGTACTGGTAGCGGTTAATGGGGCTTATGTTCCCATATGTTGTTTTTGTCGGAAAAGTAACCACCTTAATAATATAAGAGACTTTTGTTCACTTTCTATATTTGCATATACATATTAAGGCTACAACATGTACATTTTCTTGCTAGGTATCTTGAGGCTAACCATTATTATATCTATCTGCTCCTCCGCTCAGGTGATGCCACTCAGAGACTCATGCCGCTGCCACATATGGAAGGTGTACAAGCAGACTTACCCCAAAATTGACCCAGTCTTGCAGGTCAATATGCTCCTTGAATGTCACACACTTTATTAGAATATGAATAATAGCTAATATCAACAAATAAATATATAAATAAAAAATGAAAGCAATATATATATCACATACGTTTCTGGAACAAATTGGCGGCTTCCAATTGATAGATGATTGGTCACCGTGGAATGCAGCGATGCGGCCGCCAGTGCTGGTGCTGCTGGTCATGGCATGGACCTGGACCCGCTTCAACTATGGATTCAGCTGCTCGTCCGAAACGTTGGGGACGGGGCCGGAAACGTTGGGGATGAACAAGCCTCCAGTCAATTAACATAGACCCAGAGTGACCCAGATAGGGAGTTTCCCCTCAACACGGGTGATTTTTGGGGTCGAACTGTATAGCTGGTGGGATTAAGATGTTTTGAAAACAACACATCATGAAAAGTTTTAGGTACCATGAACAGGATGCACGGTGCCATGGATTCTACCAAGCCGGCGAAGATTTGATGGCCAAATTTTGACCAACATGCACACATGGTGACATACGGATCAAGGTTGTTTGTAGCCACACGCCACCTTGGGCGAATCCTGAATTTTACGCTTGCCTTCCAAACCCTCCCAACCAATCGTAATAAGCTAAATAAACCAAGCTTGTTGGTTTCAAGTGTGCCACACATGTATAAATTAATATTTATGTCCCGCAGTCCTCCAGACAAAACGGGCGATTCCCAAAACATCATGGTGTTGGAACCCATCATCCGTTGCAGGCAGCGTAGCCCAGCCTCGCCATTGGGCCTGGCAGTGGTGGGAGCATCTCAGCCTTATGGACCCGTGAAGGTGGAAACAAAGTGAAATGACCGAGGAATCCCAAGTGACATAATCAAGTTACTTGCCTTGTATACCCAGTCCCGGGATGGGAATAATTAATCCATTAATCCATATCAATCCATTTCGTAGGGATTTACCATTGTAAGGGTTCCCATGGCATGGGATGACGATACCACATTCCCATCGAACTTGACCATGGCATATTTTTGCTTTGGCCCAGGTCGCTGGGTAGCCCCAAATGGGTTTGCAGCCCCATGATCGACCAATCCGAGCGCGCCTTTCGCTTGTTGTGTCGCAGGCAGAAAAGTTTGGGGCCCGGAACCACCAAGGGCATTTTTTAAAGACGAAAAGGAATCAAAGTTGTTTTTGTGGAGGGTCTTATCAATAAGATACAATGTTACATAATGCTGTCAAGCACCATGTCGAAACTCTAGCACATGCGTCTGACTATATAATATATAATTGATTTGCACGGTTCATAGGGACTCAAACGACATCACAGTCAGCAATAGTTGGTAAGGGAAACCGCCCCTCATGGTTTCGACTCTGAATGAGTTGAAAGTTACTTCAAATAATGATCAAGATTGGTAATCGATGGGTACCAGTGGAGCCTAATGATTCATCTCCAGCCCTTTGCGACTTGGGGCAGGTATGGTGTCCACTTGGCCTACACGCCCATGCTCCATGCTGAGCCTTTCGCAGTGGATGAAGGCTATCGGAAGACCTACTTTGATGCGTACCTTCATGAGCAAAGCTGCGCCATGACGGTGAGACCGCAAAACCCTAGATGTCCTTTTGGAAGCTGTCTAATTTTGGATGATTTTAGATGATAGCTTATCTTTGGAGGAAACTTGCATATTGATTCAGTTTGGATATCATCTACTGTAAATGATATGTATGGACATCCGCTGGAAACGCGCAACAGTCATTAAGGACGTGAAAACAAGGGTGGAATTTTGAACCATACTTTGGTAATCATGGTGATCTCCAAAAAATGGAAATCAAATTGGGTTAAAACTTGGAATTACAACACATGACTAAGTAATTACACAGTTTCATATATGTAATTGCCCAGTTGGTTGACTAACACATTTCAACATATATAAAACTGGGTAATTACAAAGTCGACCCGAAGACCTGACCGGCTAAGGTGGACCCCAGTGGATGGCGAAAATGGCAAGGACGGAGCGGCAGAGATGTAGACCAAAAAGGTTGGGATATGACTTATCATGGATACCAAAGTATGAGCAACATCACATTTACGCGCGCACACACACACATATATATATATGTTAGAGAGACCTTTCTGTACTATTTGACGGCTGAAGATTCCTTCTGAATTTCCTTTAAGTTTAACTTCAAAGGCCATACCCGTAATATTTATTGAAATTGTTATATGTATTTTCTTAAAAAGCTTCAAATTTTAATATATAAATAAAATAGGTATGTAGTATATTAATTTTGTTTATTAAAATTTGGGGCTCCTGAGAAAATAAATCAAATAAATAGAATAAATATTTATTTTATTTATGTTACTTATTAAAAATTTGGAGCTCCTGAGAAAATTTTCTGTATTTTATCTATTTTCTCAGAAGCTTCAAAATTTAATAAAATAAATAAATAAATATGTATTTTCTCAGCCAAATCTTCTCCACACAGACCTCTAAAATGAAATAAATAAAATAAATAAAATAAATATTTACTTTATTTATTTTATTTATTTAAATTTGGAGCTCCTGAGAAAATACATAAAATAAATAGAATAGATGTTTATTTTATTTATTTTATTTATTTCTCAGAAGCTTCAAAATTTAATAAGTAGAATAAATAAAATAATATTTATTTTCTCAGCCAAATCTTCTCCACACAGACCTCCAAAATGAAATTAATAGAATAAATTAAATAAATATCTATTTTCTCAGCCAAATCTTCTCCACAGAGACCTCCAAAATGAAATCAATAAAAAAACAAATATATAAGAAAAATGTTTTAAAATATATTTTATTTATTAAAATTTGGAGCTCCTGAGAAAATGAATAAAATAAATAAAAAAAAACTATATATATTTATTTTAATTATTAAAATTTAGAGCTCCTGGGAAATTAAATAAAACCAATAAAGTAAATATTTATTTTATTTATTTTATTCATTAAAATTTGGAGCTCCGGAGAAAATAAATAAAATAATTAAAATAAATATTTATATTATTTATTTCATTTATTTTATTCATTTTATTTTTGTTATTTATGTTAATTATTTTATTTAGTTTATTTATTTTATTTTGGGGGTCTGCGTGGAGAACATTTGGCTGAGAAAATAGATATTTAATATTTATTATTGATTTTATTTATTAAATTTTGAAGCTTCTGAGAAAATGAATAAAATAAACTTCATTTAACTCTATCCGCTTTCCATCCCTGCTCACTCCTCTCCACACTTTCTGCCCCTAACATTCTTTTCAGACGAGGTATGAGGGTATTGAGCGGAGATGGAACTGTAGAAGGGTGGAGAGGGGGAGAGAAGAGAAAAAGCTGCGGAGAAGAGAAAGGGGAGGGAGAGAATCCCAAGCAGTGGATCACGCAAAGGATGTGAATAAATACAATAGATGTATCCTTTTATTTGGTATCAATTTTTGGCCACATTCTCCACACTCCACCCTTCATTCCACCATCGCTCCACCCTCGCTGCAGCCTTGCTCCACCCTCGCATCACCCTAGCATCACCTTCACCCAACCTCTCCAACCATTACCGCCCCTTCCACCACCCTTCCACCCACACCTTTCACCTACTTCACTCCCTTTCCGCGTCTTTCTCCTTTGTAGGTGGAGAGAGGGGAAGGCAAGAAGCTGTGGAGAAGCGGCGAGGCAAGGCGTAGAAAATCCCAAGAGGTGGGACAGACATTGGCACCTGCAGGAAAGAAATGAAAAGCATACACTTTACATTGCATGCGAGACAAAATGCCTTGGCCCGCCCTTTGCTTTATAATACCTTCCCCCTAATACTAAACCCCCCTCCCAAATTATAAACACCCGAGGTAATTTTTATTGTTAGGGGGATATTTATTATTAGTGGGCCCTATTAATAAATTTAAAACTTGAATAATAAAAACTATTTTTTCCGATTTCAATATCGATTAAATTTCCTTTTATAACGCAATTTAAAAAAAATTGCCAAAAATTGGATTTAGAAGCGGATCCTATTAATACATTTAAAACCTTCATAATAAAAACTATGTTTTTCCAATTTCAATATCAACTAAATTTCCTTATACAACGCAATTAAGATATTGCCAAAAATTGGATTTTGAAGCGGACCCTATTAATAAATTTAAAACCTTAATAATAAAAACTATTTTTTCCGATTTCAAAATCAATTAAATTTCCTTATACAACGCAATTAACATATTGCCAAAAATTTGTTTTCGAAGCGGACCCTAATATTAAATTAAAAGCTCTAATTTAAAAAAATAAAAAAAAATCGGACGGACCCTAATAATAAACACCCCGGGGTTGACTAGTTTAAATTATTAGGGTGCGAAACCCACAAATGGTAGCTTTATGTTTAAATTGTTTTCTAAACGGGATCAATTAAAAGTCAAATTGACCAACCTGAAATTTTCCAGAATTAGAGATGGACCCTAGTTTTACTATTTGAGGGGGTTTAGTAATAGGGGAAAAGGATTAATGGCGCCGCCGTTTTTGGATCGTGTCTAAAGAGAATCATTCCAACGAACATTGGAAATACCTTCAAAGAGAAACTAGAAGGAAACTGATCTTTGCAAGCAAATTTCAGAAGGAACCGGAAAAAACAACTTCAATTGGAATCTAAATTACTTTCGAAAGGACATGTACAAAGGCTAGATAAGGGTACCGCCAGATTGAATATATGACAGCACACTTGAAGGAAAGCTATGAATGAGGATATCGGATCTTTAGGCTAGATATTCGAAAGGCAATTTCAAGAGAAACTCAGAACAATGATAAAAGTTTGACAAGCACTTGCAAGAAGATGTTCCTCTCCTTTCACCTCACCATACCCCACCCCTCCGCTCGACCCTTCATTATATAACCGCCCCCAATTTCACTTAACCCTAGCCGTAATTTTCAAATCTCTTTTGACTCCTCTCCACCCTTTCAGCCCCTAACATTCTTCTTGGAACAGGAACGGAGGGAGAGAAGAGAAAGCAGCCGTGGAGAAGTGAAAAAGGCAAGGGGTAGCGAATTGAAAACAGTGGAGAACGCAAACAATGTGAATGAATATGCATCGTTTTTGGTATCAAGTTTGTGCAACCTTCTCCACCCTTCATTGAGCTATTGCTGCCCTTGCTCGATCTTTGCTTCACCCTCGCTCCACCCTCACTCCCTGGCCGGACCATGGCATCACCCTTACTACCAATCACCTAACCCCTCCACTCGCATCCGCCCCCCTTTCCATTCACACTTTACCGCCTACCCATTTTTAGGCCTTTTCACCTCATTTTCAGCTTCTTTCTTCTCTGTAGATGGAGATAGGGGAAGGCAAGAAGCCGTGGAAAAGTGGCGAGGCAAAGCGCAAAGAAAGAGAGGAAAAGCACAGGTGGACAGGTATCAATGGGACAAGCATTGGCACATAAAGAAAAGCAATGAAAGCAGACACTTTAGTGTGGTAATCCCGACAAGAAACCAGCACCAAAATCCTCATAATTGGATTGTAAAACAATCCACGTTACATTGCCTGCAAAGCAAAATGCATGGGACCACCCTCTGCCTTTTAAAATGCAGCCGCCAATTTTGGATCATGTCTAAAGAGAATTATTCCAACGAACAGTGAAAAATAGTGTTAAAGAAACTAGAAGGCAATTTTATTTTGATGCTTGAAAGCAAATTTTAAGTGGAGCTGGAAAAAACAATTTCAACTGAAATTCAAATGGTTTTGAGAGAAATTGCGAAATAGATAGAAGAGCAGTCGGGATGACTTGTTTATGTATGTATCGTATTTTCTTTCTCTCCACCCATCTGCCTTTCATTACACCCCACCCACCAACCCTTCATTGTGACCCTGCCCATCACCCCAACTTCATTTAACCCTCGCCGCTTTCCATGCCTGCTCACTCCTCTTCACCCCTTTGTCCGCTGGCACCTTATCTTCAGAACAGGAATGAAGGTGTTGAGCAGAGGCAGAGATGGAAATGTGGAAGGGTCGAGAGGGGGAGAGAAGAGAAAAAGTTGCGGAGAAGTGAAAAGGCAAGGGAAGAAGCCCAAGAAGTGGATCAACCCCCTCACTGAAAAGCAATGAAAAGCATGCACTTTACATTGCCTGAGGCAAAGTGCCTTAGTCCACCCTATGTATGCTTTGTAATGGCACTGCTGCTTTTGGATCATGTCTAAAGAGAATTGCCCACAGAAAGTAGACAGACTTTTCACTTTGTTCGACCATCTCAACTGAACTTCAAAGTAGTTTTGAAAAGAAACGGCTAGATAGATAAGACCGCAGTCAGGATGAATTACTTGCATCAATTCAAAGTGCGTTTTCTTTTCTCCATCCACCTGGGTTTCGCTACACCCAACTCTTCATCGTGACCCGCCCATCACCCCAACTTCATTTAACTCTCTCCGCTTTCCATCCCTGCTCACTCCTCTCCACACTTTCTGCCCCTAACATTCTTTTCAGACGAGGTATGAGGGTATTGAGCGGAGATGGAACTGTAGAAGGGTGGAGAGGGGGAGAGAAGAGAAAAAGCTGCGGAGAAGAGAAAAGGGAAGGAGAGAATCCCAAGCAGTGGATCACGCAAAGGATGTGAATAAATACAATAGATGTATCCTTTTATTTGGTATCAATTTTTGGCCACATTCTCCACACTCCACCCTTCATTCCACCATCGCTCCACCCTCGCTGCAGCCTTGCTCCACCCTCGCATCACCCTAGCATCACCTTCACCCAACCTCTCCAACCATTACCCCCCCTTCCACCACCCTTCCACCCACACCTTTTCACCTACTTCACTCCCTTTCCGCGTCTTTCTCCTTTGTAGGTGGAGAGAGGGGAAGGCAAGAAGCTGTGGAGAAGCGGCGAGGCAAGGCGTAGAGAATCCCAAGAGCTGGGACAGACGAAAGCAATGAAAAGCATACGCTTTACATTGCATGCGAGACAAAATGCCTTGGCCCGCCCTATGCTTTATAATGGCACCGCCGTTTTTGGATCG